GAGCCCGATGCGGGACTCGATCCCGGGACTCCAGGATCATGACCTGAGCCGAAGGCAGTCGCTTAACCAACTGAGCCACCCAGGCGCCCAGAATTCACCCATTTAAAGTATTCTTTTTGATATGTTTTTGGTGTATTTATAGATTTAAGCAGCCATCACCACAGTCTATTTTAGAACAGGTTCATCACCCCAAAGGGAAGCCCTCTACGTGTTAGCAGTCACTCCTTCCTGCCCTCCCCTCCCGGCCCTTGGCAGCGACCAGAGTACGTTCTGTCTCCTAAGACCCATTCTGCACAGACACGTCGTAGAAGAGTTCAGTATGTGCTCTTCTATGACAGGCTTTTCTCACGCGCTGTAATGTTTCCAAGGTTCATCCGTGGGTGGCAGGTGTCGGTTCTTCACTCCCTTGTATTGCTGAATAATATTCCAGTGTACAGATAGACTACATTTTGTGTGTCCATTTGCACTTGATGGGCATTTGAATTGTTTGTTTTTTGCCTGTTATGAATAATTCTCCTGAACATTCATGTGCACATTTTTGTGTGGACATACGTTTTCATTTTTCCTAGGAGTGGAATTGCGTCATATGGTAAGTTTATGTTTAACCTGCCGAGGAACTGCCCAGGTGCAGTTGCACCATTTTACCTTCTCTTCAGCTGTGTTACGAGGGTTCCACTTTTCCCACATCCTCGCCAACCTGTTGTGTGTCTTTCTTTCTTACATTTGTTTTTATTTAAGTCCTCTCCACATCCAGCGAGGGGCTCGAACTCTTGACCCCGAGATTAGGAGTCGCGTGCCCTTCCAATGGAGCCAGCCAGGCGCCCCTGGATCTTTTTAGTTTAGCCATCCTGCTGGCTGTGGTGTTTCACTGTGGTTTTGATTTACATTTCCCTAATGACTAAGGGAATTGAGGACCTTTTAATGTGCTTAGTAGCCCATTCATGTAGTCTTTGTATGTTTTTGAGTAACTAAATTGATGAAGTAAAGTATCTTTGGGAAGACTTTTCTGGAAGCCTTGTGTAGTATCGATTGGATGGTGGAGAAAAGCCAGGAGGTAGGGAAGCCCGTTCAGAGTCTGGGGTGAGGCCGTGGAGCTGGACGGAGGTCGGGATGCAGGAATGCGGAGGAGACCACCGCGGACGCGGCGCTAGGAGGGAGGCGGCCTGTGAAGGGTGGGGCGGAGAGCCCGTCAGGACCACCGGGAAAAATGGTGATGGCGCTGCGAGGTCACCTGGACGGCAGAGGAGGACAAGACTGTCATCAGAGATGGAGCTGAGGTGTTGTCTGCACACTCACGTGTCACCCTCCACTCAGCTCTAGATGGGCTGCAGGATTTGGGGGAGAGTTTCAGATTTGTGGGCCTCAGGGGCACTTGCACTTCACAGAAGTTATTGCTGAGAAACCGTGTGTGTGGCAGGAAGGGGTCGGGGACGGCGCAAGGTCAGGACACGTCATCATCGTACTAGTGGCGGGGGCAGTTGGCGTTTTGCCACCCGGATACTTACACTGCTGGACCCTCCTGGAGTGACCCGTCCTTTGGGGAAAGAAGACTGTGACATACACAGTGACGTGAAATAAATACGAAAGCCTAGAAGACTCCACCATATGTTGAACGTAGTCTCTTCGGGGCTTTTTTAAAAACAACTGGACTCTTCTGTGTGTGGGAACACTGGGTGGAATTGGTTCAGAGTCGGAAGGAGGTGCACGCTGGCCGAGCCGTTCTCTTCTGCCTTCACTTGTCCCGTTGTGGCCAGGCCTCCACCACTATGGGAAGTAGATTCCTGGCTTGTTAGAGTATTAGTATTTAATAATATCCTGTGTTTGTAACAAAGTTACGTAAAGCTAGACATTACATGTTGACTCAACTATCTGCTGTCTTAACTGAAGAGGAGTTTTGTTTTTACCATGGTGGTACTTACTGTAAATCATTTCCATTCTGTCTTCTTTAAATTGTGCTTGTAAGCTGGGCGCCATTTACGAACCGTGCGGACTGAGGCGGGTTATCTCCGGATCAGCAGGAGCACCACAGAGGAGGGCTCTCATCTGGACATAGAGTCTCTCTTTTCATGGAATTTTTCTTTTCTATCTTTTGTGAAATGGGAATAATTATGTTTGACACTGCTCCTTATAAAGATATTGCATTAAGGGGCGCCTGGGTGGCTCAGTCAGTTGAGCGTCCGACTCTTGGTTTTGGCTCAGGTCATGATCCCAGGGTCCTGGGATCGAGCCCCGCATCGGGCTCCCCGCTCAGCGGAGAGCCTGCTTCTCCCTCTCCCACTCCCGCTGCTTGCTTATGCTCTCTCCCTTTCTCGAATGAATAAATCTTTTTTAATAAAGATGTTGCATTAATTATTTTAGAACTTTCTAAATAAAGAGGTTTCTAAGAACTTGGTAAAATTGCTTTGGTTTGGAGTCCCCTTTACTTGTGTCCGGTGGAAAATGGCTGTAGGTATGACCAGTTTAGGAGTTACCTACAGGTGGGTAAAAGGGTCTCGATGCATAAAATATCCTTCTCCAGATTGTCACTGTTCTGTTTCAGAGGGCGGAAAATTACAGCACAAATTAACAAGTGTTGTGTCTTTCAAAGGAAAACCACGTGGCGCCCTGTCCATATCTGGTCGGAATTTAAGGCTGCTATAATTTTTTTTTTTAAAGATTTTATTTATTTTTTATTTATTTGACAGAGACACAGTGAGAGAAGGAACACAAGCAGGGGGAGTAGGAGGGGAAGAAGCAGGCCTCCCGCTGAGCAGGGGCTCGATCCCAGGACCCTGGGGTCATGACGTGAGCTGAAGGCAGACGCTTAACTGACTGAGCCCCCAGGCGCCCCTATGATTGGTTCACTTTTAAAGGTTGGCTGTTATAGGGTACTTACTTTTGAGTATTTATACTGACGGTTTGATTTTCCCTTTGACTGTGCTCACCAGGTTCATTATGGTGCCGAGTGGGAACATGGGAGTGTTTGATCCGACAGAGATACATAACCGGGGGCAGCTGAAGTCGCACATGAAGGAAGCCATGATCAAGCTGGGCTTCCACCTGCTCTGTTTCTTCATGTATCTCTACAGGTGAGTGTACAGCGTCGTGGCCCTGCCCGGTTTGCGATGCCTGCTCTCTGCAGGTGAGACCACTGGCCTGCAGGACTTAGCGCGGGCGACCCAGAGCTCCGGGGGGTCCTGCGGGATGCCGGCGGCTGTGTGCATTTTGTATAAAAGTGCCATAGGACCCGTGCGCTGTGACCTGCGCTGGAGCAGCTCTGTGGCATTCGCTCCTCCTCAGCCCCAACGCTGTCCCCGTGCTCTCCCTTCCTTCCCTGGTGTCCAGACCTCACTGCCGGTCCTGAGCGGTGCTGGCCGCGCTCCTAGGGACCGGCCTGCCGCGGGTCTCCTGGGGGCCAGGCGCGGAGAGCTGAGAGTTGGCCCGGTCTTTGTCGGCCCTGAGGATCTGAGTGTGGCGCTGCCTCGCCCGCGAGCCAGGTGGCCCATTCGGGTAGAACCGTGTCAGCCTCCCGGTCTCGGCACATGGGAGGTGAGTGCCACCAGCGAGGCCTGGCCCTCAGACATGGGAAGCCTCATGCGTCCCGTGTTAAGTTACGTTGTAGAGATAAACGTGCCACCCTCTTTACCTGTCAGAGGCCGATGAACAGAACAAGGAAGAGAGACAAGATTGTTGTGTGCCTATGATTTCGTTAAGGTTTAGGAGGCCAGAAGTCAGGCTTAACCTTTGTATGCAAGCTTAACTAGATCATGCCTATTCTTATCCCCAGGTAAATTTAAATTTTTCACACAGGCATGAGGACTCTTAGGAAGAACTTGTGTTGAACTAAACTGCTGTCATTCAGAGGGTTCCAGTAATTAAAAACTGCATAGAGATGGCAGTTTTAAAAAATTGCTGTTTGTCTGAAACAGTTTTGAAGTCAGAGCCATTTTAGCCTCTGCCTGATAAAGCGGGCTTCCTAAAATCCGTCTGCTGGGCTTATTCCAGCCACAAACAAATGGGATTGAAATTAGGTTAGATTCCTTTGTTTTCATTATTGATCATATTTGCTTTTCTGTATTTTATTAATTTTTTTTTAAAGTAATCTTTATGCCCAATATGGGGCTCGAATTCCCAGCCCCGAGATCAAGAGTCCCACGCTCCACCAACTGAGCCAGCCAGGAGCCCTGTCCTGGTTTTTAAAATAAAAGGAGGGACATTGGGCATAGAGTTACTTAAAAAAAAAAACCTCTCTCTCTCCATATATATACAGATATATCGATATTTAGATAATCTATGGATACCTATGTTAACTAACTTGAGTTTAAATATAAGTAAGTTAAATAATTTAAAAACTGGGATAGAAAAAGCACACTGGTATCATTTTCTGATTCTCGAACTATACGTCACTCCTTACGTGTTTAATTTTTAATCCTTAACAGTGAAAAATAAAGAGCAAAGAAATGTTATATATATATATTTTTAAGATTTTATTTATTTGACAGAGACACAGCAAGAGAGGGAACACAAGCAGGGGGCAGTGGGAGAGGGAGAAGCAGGGGCAGAGGGAGAGGGAGAAGCAGACTCCCTGCCGAGCAGGGAGCCTGATGCGGGGCTCGATCCCAGGACCCTGGGACCATGACCTGAGCCAAAGGCAGATGCTTAACGACTGAGCCCCCCAGGGGCCCCAAAGAAATGTAATATTAAGACACGATGACACACCGTCTTCTGGCTTTTCTGACTTTAAAGTGAAACCAAGTTGAAGGTATCTGGGCCGCCAGAGAAGTTCCCTCATAGTTGTTTCTGGAGAGGCCGCGGGCAGGGCTGGGAGCCGTGTCGCTTGCGGCTGTCCTGCGTGGCTGCTCTCGGTCACAGCGGGGCCCTGGGGGCGGGGGGGGGGGGGGGGGGGGGGGGGATGCAGGTTTGCGGAGGGGGAGGGGAGGACGAGGTGTAGACGCCAAGTCCTGGGATTTGAAAGCGCACACGAGTCTCCGGGGTTGGCAGGGATTGGCTCCGTGGCATGGTACTGGCGGCGGGCGGAGGGGCCGGGCAGCCGCTGGGGGCAGGCCGAGGGGGTACCCCGCACAACTGAGTGTAAGGCAGGCAGCCTTTGTAGCTGGTTTGGGAGACGCTGCGTCCCTCTTTCTTGCCTCGCTCCCGAGCTTGTCACGTCCGCCACCTTGCTGTGGCCTCGCTCCTGGGTGCACCCACCGCTTGCGCCCCCGATGAGGGAGCGGTCTGGTCTCAGAGGACGTGCTCCTCACGCTTTCTCGTGCTCGGGGTTGCGGCTGTGTCGGTGGCTTTATTCCCAGCCGTCCGGCCCCTCACCAGGCCTCTCCAGCTGGTCCTATCTGGGTCGCCTGCCGCGTGGCTGATGCTCAGGGTTTGTCCCATGGAATTAGAGGGGAAAATGCCCATCTTTAGAGAGTGCTGGACTCGATGCCATTGGTATTGGGTTGGGTGCCAGCCTGGTGCAGTCTGGGTCCCGCTGCTTACTGTGTGACCCAGGGCTAGTTTCTTAACCTCTCTGTGCTTCCATTTCTTCATCTGGAAATGGGATAGTAACTAGTACCTACCTCACTGGGTTGTGATCCGCACTAAATGAGATAATGCACGTAAAACACTTGGGTTTATGCTGACCTAGAGTTAACTCGCAAAAATCTTTTATTTTTTTTCTTTAGATTTCTTTTTTATTTATTTGACAGAGAGAGACACAGCGAGAGAGGGAACACAAGCAGGGGGAGTGGGAGAGGGAGATGCAGGCTTCCCGCGGAGCAGGGAGCCCGATGTGGGGCTCAATCCCAGGACCTTGGGATCATGACCTGGGCCGCAGGCAGACGCTTAACAGCTGAGGCCCCCAGGCGCCCCACAAAAATCTTTCAGGAGTATTAGCTACTGCCGTCAATCCATGCTGTGCGCGGCGTTCACTAGTGTGGTGAAATTTGGACAACTAAGGACGCCATTAGTGGTGTGTAAGGGGTTTCTGTGTATTCTGGTCCTCTGCTCTTAGCACAGCCAGGCTGACTTCAGTACAGGGCCATGATGATGGTCCTTTCGCCCCTGTTGGCCGTGGTGTGGTTTGAGCAGAGTGTCCACCGAGTGACTGCCACGTGCCCGACGCGGTCAGGCTGTGTGGATGGTGCCCGGGGTTCCGCAGAGTCAGGCGCAAAAGCGGGGGCCGCTGAGCTCAGCGCTCGGGGCCTGCAGCGGGCCCGTCCCGAGGCCCAGGTGCACCCTGCCAGCCGCTGTGAGGTCCGTGCAGGGTCGTCCCGGGTGGATGGGGAGCAGGGGTTCCGGGCCTCGGGACGGCGGGTGCGAGGTCTGACTAGGGGATTAACGTTTTGTTTTTTGTTTTCTGGACATGGTTTCTTCTGAACTCTAGCCCAATGTTGGTTTTAGGTTATACTCCCACCCCCACCCCAGTTATTTATTTTGTTCTGTGAAAAAAATCAGGGCTTTGAGAGGCCCCAAGTAGGTAGTCCTTCTTGTAAAAACCGTAGCAGTGATTGACTTTTGCTCAAATGAGTGTTCCTTGCTGAGCCTCAGAGACACAAGCCAGGACACAGCAGACTTGTCGGCACATTGCTCAGGGGCCGCTGGTAACGCTCGTCTCTTCTCTCCGCAGTATGATTTTAGCTTTGATAAATGACTGAAGCCGGAGGAGCCGCGGCCCGAGTCCGCCTGCACGGCAGCACGCAGCCCAGGAGCCTGAGACGGCTGAGCCCATCCTTAGAACCGGGACCATAGCAGTATACTTTTTCCTCTTTGAACAACAAAAAAAATATTTTTGCTGTATTTTTACCATATAAAGTATTTAAAAAACACGAATTGAGTTTTTGTAGATTTCTGGTTCTCAACTTTAGCCCGAACCCCGACACGTGTTTCCCGTCGTCTGTGTGTTGAAGATTGTTACCGGTACGTAGCAGCGGGAGCACCACGCCGGCCTCGCGAGCCAAGACACAAAGGACACAGATCAGAGGGAAGGCCTACCAGAAGCTCTGCCGAGAAGGCAGAGGGTAGAGCAAGCAGCGCTGTTAACCTGGGCAGAGGAAGAGAGAAATGACCCCTCTGTGGCAGCTTCTTATATTTAATTCGGTGTCAAGATTTATGGGACTGTCAGCTAAAAGTCTTTTCACAAGAATGTTAACAGGAAATGGCATTTCGAAAAATACATCTTTCTTTGCAGAATCTGTGAAACCCTATAAGCCATTTGCCCAGGTACAATGTAATTCCTGCTTCTAGAAGGGACAATAAAAAAGCAAAATTTTATCAAGAATTTTCATTTAAAGCCACTGCCTCCAAAATTACCCGCAAACCCATAGGACCCGCTGGCTCCTGTGGGTCCCGCTCTTGTATTCTGAGGATCCCGTGGCATCTGGTCTCTCAGCTACATTGCCTCATGGGTTTCGAGAGGTGATTTGGCAGAAGATGCGCATCAGATTAGAGCAGGACTAGCTGGTCATCGAGTAACTGTGGAGCCCGTCACCGCTCAGCTCTGTCCCGCCGCACCGACGTCCACTGTGCGACTCGGGAGATGCGGGACAGGCCGTCTCACGGACGTGGCTCCCCAGCCAAACTCGGTGCCCTGGAGCAGGGTTTGCTCTTGTGGTTGGTGCAAGTGTTGACCTCTTGGGTTCTGTTTGCCTGGTGATGTGACCCGGCCGTTCATTCTCAGTCCTACTTCGCGCCCTGACGTCATCTGAGGCGCTGGCCTCTAGGCCAGACACGGCTGTGTGACAGCGGAGTGCAGGGGAGTGACCCACGTCAGGGCAGAAGTGGGCAGCTACACAAGGTGTGGGGTCACCAAGAGATCAGACGCCGCGTGTCCTTTCAGTCCAGCCTGGGCAGAAGCCCCGAGGCTGCTAAGCCCGACTCCCTGGACAGAAGGGCCCCTGTTTGGAGCGCCCGGCCGCACACGGCAAAACAGGGACTGGCAGGTGAGGGAAACTGAGGCCGTCGGCCTCCGGGTCCTCGTGAGTCCCTCCTCCGGGTTATTGGTATAGCTGATGCCGGGAGCCAAGCAGCTGTAATGTGGAAGTGACTGGGGGGCACCTTCCCTTCCCTACCTTCTCCTTTGGAGGCGCCTTCCCGCATTTTAAAAAACCAAACCCGAGGGCGCCTGGGTGGCTCAGTTGGTTGAGCGACTGCCTTAGGCTCAGGTCATGATCCTGGAGTCCCGGGATCGAGTCCCGCATCGGGCTCCCTGCTC